TGTGTGTGTGTGTGTGTGTGTAGGTGGTTGTGAACAGCGGGAAAGGAAATCGGGAGAGAAGTTTATGCGCGTCTCCATGGCAACAGCAGCAGCGCGAGGGGCCTGGAAGGGTGGCAAGGGGAAGTCCGCGCCTCTCCTACAACAAGCAAGGAAATCCCCTCATTGACAACCTTACGTATACCATTCCTTCCCTCACTCTCCGCTCTCCGCCCCGCACGGCCTCAATCAACGCCCCTCTTCACTCCCTCGGCAATTGTGCTGATGTGTGTATAGACACGTCCACAAATTTAGGGCGCGAGCAGCCAGGCACCGTCGGGGTAAAAGGCGAGCAGCGGGCCACGCACCCCTAGCAGATGCCGCAGCGGGTGCTGTGTAAACTGCGCCACGCTTTCATTCGTGTTGCGCAGTGACGCGTCGATGCTACTGCCACCCATCAACAGCGCCGCTCGCTGCCCCAGTCCACGCCGCACGCGGCACAGCGCGAGGACGCACTCCGTCTCCAGCACTGCCTGTTTCCGCTGCTGCCGCCGTCGCTGCCACACCCGTGTGCACTCCCCCGAGGTGTCCGCAACGAGCATGGCTTCTTCGGCCTCCTCACTGTTATCCGCAGCGGCAGCAGCGCCATCAGCACTTTTCCCGCGGTCGATAAGCACGGGTGGAAAATCCAGCAGCGCGACGGTCTCCCCGCCGCTGACATTCACCACCGCCCCGTTCACCAATCCCGCCGTCACGACGCGCTCGTGCAGCTGCACAGCGCACACCGCGTCGTCCACCGCAACGAAAAGCTTCGTGCTGAACTCTGGCGCCTGATAACACGCCACGCTCGCCCCGTGCGACATCACCAGCATCGTGCGGCCGCCGCGTGCGGTGCCAACAGCAAGCGGCGGCGATGGCACGAACGGCGGGAGCGGCGCGACGCCCTTCGCCTCGATGCAATGCAGCACCTGTAGCGTTAGCCGGCCGGAGCGGGTATCCCCGGTGGGCTGCAGAACCACTACCGAGGTGCAGCGGCCAATGGCGAAGAGAAACGTCTCAGCCATGACGGTGCCGTTGGAACTCCAGCGTACTTCGACGAGGTCGAGCTCGCGCTTCAGCAGCGTCGCGCCACACACCTCTGCAGCGACGTTGGCGCAGCAACCGGCAACGGAATTGACAGCCACTTTGCGCGGCAGCACTGTGGAGACCAGGTACCTTCCGCGAATGAAGGTGCAGAGACCCAGTGTGTTGTTATCTTGTCGGTGCAGAGGGACGGGGAGCCAATCCATCGACACGCCCACGTGCCGTCCAACGTACACGCTGTACTTGCGTGTGGGGAGAGCACCGCTCATAATAGGAAACCGCGAGGAGGAGGAAGAGGATGAGGCGGTAGTAGCAATAGCACCAGATCTGGCCTTGCCATTCCTACCACCACCCATGTTGATGGGGCAGCGCCATATGTCGAGCCGTGTGCAGCTCTCCTCCTCGCATAGCACCGAGAACCATAAGCCCACGTCCGGCATCGTCGGAACGATGCGCACACGGAGGATACTACCACACGATGTGAGGCCAGCGAACCCCTGCGGGGTACGACAGCACTTGTCAGGAGCAACCGTGAATTCTTTTATGTTTTCGTGGTCAAACACACACAGCGGCTGGGAGGCCACGGAAGTTGGACGCTCAGCAGCCATTTTTGTGCCGGGCTGAATGTGATGGAAGAAGCGCACCACCGGGCCGTTGGCAATTCGTTCCAACCTCACTTGCCGCGCTCGGGCCCCCTCGCTCAACTCCAAGCTCTCTGTCTGATCGTTGCTGGAGACTTGACCCTCCTTTTGCACCTCGTCCTCCGTTGCTACTTGTGTTGATGTCGGCGTTAATATTTTGGGGGTGTCGTGTGGCGATAATTCTTTCGGCATGTCATGTGGAGGCGATTGTGGCAGTGGTGGTGTTGCCGGTGGTAACGCTTGTGGCGACAATTGCAGCACTTCCACCGGTGGTGAGGCTGGCGTTGCTGGTTCCGGTGCAGGCGTGTTTACCGGCGTTTCTGCTCCTTTTGGTTCCGTCGTCGCCCGTGCTGTTTCCGCGGAAGGAGTGATGATGGTGGCGGCCGCAGCAGCAGCAGCAGCAGCAGCAGCCCCTGGCCGGCCACGGCCGCGCCTTGGTCTTTTTTCGCTCGATTCATCGTCGTCCCGCGCCTCTCGTTCCGCCTGTGTCTTGCTGTGACTGCTTGTAATGTTGCTATTGCCGTTGTTGATGTTTTTAAGGCTGCCGTTCCCCGTGCTGCTGCGCCGCGGGGGCCGTCCCGTCTTCCCGCGGCGGGCGACGACGTTCACGGACTTTGCGAATCGCCGCGCGAGCAGCCGCTCGGGGTGCCCCTCCACCTCCACCTCCTCGGTGTCCACCTCGTAGCGCTCCGGCAGCGGCGCCGGGCCAACGAAGCACAACGGGTGCCGCGCAAAGCACAGACGCCGCTGGTGGTCAGCGCACATGACGCTGTCGTCCGCACTTTGCTCCGCTGCGACGCGACAGATGTTGCACACGTCCACGCCGCCGTCGTACTCGCTGTGGAAGACCGCAAATGTAATGACGCGGTCACAGCCGTCGCACTGCACGCATTTCACATCCGCCCCCAGCTGCGGCCGTTCTCCTGGGTAGTGCGCGTTGAGGGACTCATACTTTTGAAAGAGACCGTGAGCTGCCATACCCCAATCGGCGCAATATTTCTCATCATCATCATCATCGTTGCCAATGGATACACAGGGAGTGAGGGGAAGCAGTGATGAGAGAATTGGAAGAGTGAGGTGAGGTTCCATGACACAAGCAACCCTCCCCAGTCAAAGAAGAAGCATAGCAATACGCAAAGAAAAACGAAAGAAGAATGAGTAGAAAGGGGGGAAGTCACGGTGCAAGGGATGGGTTAAATGAAATAAGTAGTCACATCGCTCGTTTCTCCATCCTTGTTGCTGCTTCGGTAAGCCTCCCACCTCCCCACCCTGCACGTAAGCGTCCGACCAGGCGAGCTTTGCAGGGTTGTTCCCCCCCGCCAGCTGCTGTCGCTTGCGTTGTCGCCACTTATCTGGTGACAAACTTCCCTTCGTCACCGTATGCACTGGAACTGATCGTTTCATATAGACATCCCACCTCGACTTGGTCAAGCTCTAGAAGGAGCACAGACCGTACTGCTTCCTTGTCCTCGTCCTTCTCATCCACCATATTCATTCGTTCGGCGGCTTTTTTTTTTCGCGCAGCAAGCTCAGCTGCACACCCAGCTGCTGCTGCCGCTCCGTGCAGGCGAGAATCTCAACCTCAAGATCGCGACACTTCTCTAAAGCCTTCACCATGCTCGTAGCCTCGAGGCGCTCGGACTGCAACTTCTTCTGGATGTCATCCTTTTCCTTCCGCACGGCCGCGAGCCTATCCTGAAATGTAACGAGCTCCTGCATCTGGAAGACAGTGAGCAACGCCTGCAGGTCGTGCGGGAGTGCCGCGGGGACACCAGCCGCTGATGTCCCCGCGCCGGTCTTATCACTGTTGTGCTTGCCGTTGTTCACCACCCCCGGAACAGACACAGCAGCCCGTGGCGCCGGGCGGTCTGTCGACACGATCATGTCGCCGACGCACCGCCGTGCCGTACTCGGCCCCACCGATATGACGGGCTCGTCAAAGGCGAAGCTGCACGCCGGGGAACCCGCCTTCAGCGCCTCCACGCACTCCGTAGGAACAGTGATGTGGAAAAGGCATTGTATCACGCCCGCACCGTCGACGAACGCCCCGTCTATGCCGTTCTTTGATAGCACGACGCTAGTGGCTCTGAACTGCATAAACGGCAACGCCTGTAGCAGCAGCTGGGACCGCACGCCTGTCGCGCGACTGGGCCTCTCGGGGCCGCACGACAGCTCAACGCACACCACAGTCCCCGCTGGCGGGGGCGGCACCAGCGTCACGCGCGAGAGGCGCAGCGTGAGTGGCAGAATCTCCTCCACTACGGCGCAGAACGACAACTCGCCACTCGTATGGCGGCCGTCGTGAAGCTCCTGCGTCACGACAGGATCGCCAACGCCGTCACCCGCTGTCGCGGCTAAGAGGTGCGGTAGCTGCATGTGGCACATGCCGACGAACCGTTCCCCCCCGCTGCAGTAGCACTCCACCACCATCAGCGGCCTTGCCATATCGCCTGTCACGGTGCACTCGAATCGGCGGCACAACGACCACGACGGGTTCGACGGCACGAGGCATGCGTCGGTCTCGAATGTGGTACGGTCGAACTTTCCCCGAATGAAGTACGGCGGCGGGTATACCGCTGCGCTGATGCGACGCGCGGTAAACGCGGACAGCTGCACCGAATAGCACAGCTCGACCGGTGCCGCCATGGCAACACAAACTTACTGGCCAAGGGGAGACAGAGAGTGCTTGTGCGTGTGTGAGAGAGAGAAAGGACAGGCAGCACGCCGAGTGGCGAGGCGGAGCACACGCACACACGCGTCCACACACACACACTTCCTCTCATCTCTCCGCTACTCAAGCCTCTCCCATCATTCTTGTGGTTGTTTTGGTAATATTGGTAGTGGTCGTTTTGTTTTTGTGCGCGTTCACCATCGATGCATTCGTGTAGTTAGTCTACCAAAAAAAAAAAAACTATACGAACGACCTCAGGACGTCGCTTATTGCTCCGAGGCACACAGGGCAGGTTGTGCGCCCCGCGACGCACACTTCACAGAGCACGCGGTGGCCGCATGGTACCGTGATCATGAGAGGCCGCTCGGCATTCTGGCACGCTATACAGTACCGAAAAACGGCCCTGTGGTCTCTCCCGCGGGGGTCCCTAACGACGAGGGCGGTGGAGGGCGGTGGAGGGTCTGCGGCGCCGCCCTCCGCCTCTCGTCCCATCAGCTCGACGCGAGCACGCAGGGCACATACCTCGCGGTGCCCGTCGCAGAGCTCCGGGGCAATGATGTTGTTGCAGTGGGGGCACTTAAACTGAAGGAGTGCGTCACTGGTGACACGGCACAGCGCTCTTCGCGGCTCACGACATATGGGGCACGTGTCCAGGGCCTTGGCGCACTCGCCGCAGCACGACACGTGGCCGCAGGGGAGAAACGCGTACAACCGCCTTGCCTCCATGCATACCACACATAATTCTTCGCCATCACACATGTCTTCATTCCCTCCCTCGACGGCGGCGGCGGCGGCGGTAGTGGCGGCAGTGGCGGTAGTGGCGGTAGTGGTGGTAGCAGCAGCCACCGCCAGATTGGGCAGCGGCGGCGCCTGCTGCATCTTGCGTCGGACATTGGCGCGGCAGGCCTCGCGGTGCCCGTCGAGCAGCGCGGGGTCCAACGTCCTACCGCACACATCGCAAACAGCCGGACCCTCCGGCCGCCAGATCCCGTAGCGCCCAAGAAACGCATTTGATGGTGGCGCCCGACTGTGCTGCCGCCGATGTGGTGTGGATGTGCGAGCCTCCACGCAGTCGTCAAAATAGCAGCAGCAGCAGCAGAGCGTACCGCCCATCCATCCAATGGTCTTCAATGTCCCAAATCACCACTCTCTTTTGTGTTGTTCCTCCGTTATGTCGTTTTCTTTTGAAAATTGTTCTCCTTTTCTCGTTGTGTTTTTTTCTTCTTCTGCAGCCGCTNCCCATGCCCATCACAAAATGGGAAGAGTCAGCACGGCAGACGAGCGAAAGAAAAGACAGAGGCCATGGGAGAGAAGCCCAAAATTCCTAAGGGAAGCCAACCCACGTCCTCGCTCCTGTCCGCAATGGTGTCAACTCTTCTCCCCGCAACAGCCCACTTCTTCTGTTTCCGCCCATGTTGTTGTTGCCGTTAACCGTTCTCCCCGTCGCATTCACGCCGAGAGAGTGGCGCAGCGCTCCTTGATCTCTGTTGCCTCCTTCCGCAGCGCGTTGAGGATGCGGCGAAGCTCCACCACGCGGTTCTGCGCGACGCTCACCTTTGCGCGCATGCTGCTCTCCGCCTCCTGGCACGCCTGTGCGTCGCCGCGGCGCACGCCCTCCAGGTAGGCGCGCAGCAGGCTGCCGTCCGTCTCCGCCTCGTTTCGGC